CTCTGATGTTGCAGAGGGACTTCAGAGTCAGGGGAGAGACAATTCCCCCAAAAGAAGACCAGGGTATTGTCACCAAAAGAAGGGGACAGGATACAAGACAGACAGGAGGCTGCAAACCCTTACCTGGTCTATAAAGTCATTGAGGCTTGGTTGTCCCTTGCCATTTCTTGTTTTCTCCCGCCTTTGATATAATAAACAAGAAGACTGGTCGTGTTGTCTTTTCCCAAGCCCAGCAGTATCTTTTTGGCATACATGTATGTGTGTATTGGCTTTCTTCTTCCCCAGTCCCACAAAAGTGCCCCCACTTGTCCCATGAAACAAAGCCCAAAAGGGACAAACAGTAGCAGAAGCCAAGCTGCTGCTTTGGCCCGATGAGTTTATTGAAGAGAGTTTTCTTTCTCCCTTCTACCTAGAAGAAGAGGTTTGCAGGGCTGGCCCCTGCCCACACCTGGCATTGGGCCTTTCCCTGGGCTAGGCTGAGTGGGAGCAGATGCCCGCCTCCTATGTCCAGGGCCTGTGCAGGAGCCATCACACCACCTTGTTGATGATGACACCTAGCTCTTCAATCTCACACTGGACTTCATCCCCCTTCTGCAACAGAGCAGGAGGCCGTGAAGGGGTCAGCCCTTCTGTCAGACACACATACATACATGCAAGCCTGTACTTCTCCAGTCTCAGCCAAGCCTGCCAGGCCTTTGGGGCCTTTGCTCTCTTTCCTTTTCACTAACCTACCTTGAGAAAGACAGGAGGTTTCCTGAATACACCAACACCTGGGGGGGTCCCAGTTAGGATGACATCCCCTGGGTAAAAGGTGACAAACCTGGAGAAAAGCAGGAGGACCCAGTGAAACCAGGGGCTGACTGAGGTGGCCACAGCCAAGGGTGGAGGGCTCGCATCTGCCTCCACATGTGTGGCAGGTGAAGTGGGGCTGGCAGGACAGGCCCTGTCACTCACTGGGAGACCCAGGCTATCAGCTCTTCTGTCTTGAACACCATCTGGTTGGTGTTGCTGCTCTGGACCACTTCCCCATTCACTCGGCAGCAGATCTTTAAGTTGTGTGGATCTGAAATGCAAAAATGGTATCTTGGAGTTATCCCTTTTACCCCCTCAAACCCCTTATATTTCAAAAACACAACTGTATGGGGCCTTCATGACTTGCCAGGTGAAAAGGCTTTGTGCCTACACTGACTCAGTGCTCTACATTAGAACTTTCTGATAGACATTGGCCTTCTCAGGCCTCCCTGTATCCCCACCAAGAGCACCAGGCAGTAGTCACTTGGATGAGTTAAGAGGATATTCCAGACTCTGAAGGGGGAGAAAAAAATGGCTAGGGTTTTTGTCTTGGAAAAAAAAAAAGGGCATCTGTCTACAGTATAGGATGACACTTGTAGATACAAAGATGACTTGGCAGGGCCAAGTGTGGTGGCTCACGTCTGTCATCACAGCACTTTAGGAGGCCAGGGCAGGCGAGCACTGATTAAGCTAAGGAGTTCAAAACCAGCCTTGGGAATGCAGTGAAATAATAAAAACAGCCAGGCGTGGTGGTGCATGCCTGTAGTCCCAACTACTCAGGAGGGTGAGGTGGGAAGTTTGCTTGAGCCCTGGAGGTTGAGGCCTCAGTGAGCTGAGATTGCGCCACTGTACTCCAGCCTGGGTGACACAGAGACCCTACCACAAAAACAAAACAAAACAAAAAGACTCAACATTGATAGAGCAGTGAGGTAATGGCACAAGCAGGGAGTGAAGCCTCGTGTGCTGGAAGCTGGCGGGGGATGGCTTACCGTGAGAGCATCCTGGCTAACCAGCGCTTTTAACTGTTTTGCTGCTGGCCTTTGTGTTCTACCCTCTTAAGCAGAGCAGCTGAAACACAATTTAACTTTGCCAAGGACTCTACACGGGGTGCTGTGGGGCACTGGGGTTATCAGCATCCTGGCAAGGCTGGCCCACATGGAAATCCCCCACCTCCACCACGGTTGTGGATGGCTGTGCGTTAGAGGATACGCTCTGCTCTCTGGGCCACTGCCTCTGTCCTGGCGCGCCCTCCTCACTGTGTGGTCAGTGCTGTTGTTTCCACAGTGGTTGGGTGAGTCCCATTGGCTCTCATCTCCTGTACTGCGGAAAATGACTGGCCTTGCGATAGCTGTGCTCCATGATGCTCAACTTAAAGGTTGTTCCAGATGGTGGCAGCCACAGGAAGCCTGATCTACCCATCAGCTCAGAGCTCTTTGTAATTTACTTCATGCATGCAGTTTCATATCCTCTGCAGTCAAGTTCCCTCTAGGGGGCTTGGGAAGGAAGCCCATGGGAGACCTCATGGCTTAGGATAAGAGACTTGCCCTGTATGGAGTCAGCAGTGAAAGGGCAGCCAGGGAGGGCAGGTGCACAAGTACTGAACCCACACTCCTCCCTGGAGTGCTGTTCATCTGTGCAGTGGTAGGCACAAGCGGGCAAGAACCAGGGACCTACCTGCTACACTGTCCTTGGTCACCAAGGCAGGGCCCAGAGGGCAGAAGGTGTCGAAGGTTTTTCCCAGCAGCCACTGTTTCCCATTGCGTCTCATTTGCCAGTCACGGGCACTCACGTCATCAGCCACAGTGAAGCCGGCCACATGGGCCATGGCATCTGTGGCCTATGGGGGCAGGGGATTTGGCCATACAGGAGGTGAGATCACGGGTGACACCAACCCCCATAGCAAAGGATCTCAAAGTCGTTATCCCATGTTAGTAGCCAGAGCCAGTCGAAGGTGGGTGAAGGGCAAGGCAGCGTCAGGGAGCAAGGAGGCTGACCGCTTCCTAGTGTCAGGGACAGCTGGCACTCGTGTGTTGGTGAGTGAGGTCAGCACTAGGAGAGGCAGCAGCTGGGGCTTCTGCTGCACTCTGGCCTGGAAGCCCACCCTTTCCACCTCACCTTGATGTGCTTGCCTTTCTTTCCAATGACCACGGCCAGCTCCACTTCCCAGTCTACCTCCTGTAGGGTGGGAGAGGAGCAGTGAGCTGCAGTGGCCTCTGGGCCCATTCTTGATGCTGGGAGGCTGCACACCGTGGATCTCTGTCAGTATGGCTTGGCTGCCAGCCCATGTTTGCCATCACTATGAACCAGAGCCACATGAATGACGAGGGAGGTGTGACTTATAGACCCATACATTCATTTTGGGCAGTGACAGGCAGCGTCATGGGATGCAGGCACAGGTCCCCACCCCACTGTGACTGCAGAAGAGCAACACGTGTGTCCAGGGGTCTGAGTTTAAGTCACTCTGGATACCTGCAACAAAGGATAAATATGAAGTAATACCACCTAGCAATATGTCACTGCACTGTGTGTCAGGCACTATTCTAAGTGCTTTAATGTATTAACTCACTTTAGTAAGAAAAAGATTGACATTCCACAAAGGACTTGAATAAGCAATTCATAAAAAGGTAATACACATGGCCACAAAACATGAAAAAATACTCAGCCTCTCCCATAGTCCATAAAGTACAACTACAAAATAGATATAATTTGGCTTTTAAAATTGGCATCTCTTTCTAATAATAGGCAGAGTTGGTATAAGTAAGTATACCTGACATCCAGATGTTGGTCTCTAATACCATGCCCTACTTAGAAGCACTGAGTTCCTGGGGGAAACAGCTAATTCCAGGTCCAAGACAGACAGTACATGATGAGACTGGAACATCTTAGCCAGAAAGCAAGGATATATTAAAAGTGGTGGGGATGGAATCAACTTAATGGCCCCTCACCAGCCAAACTGAGGTCATCTAAAGAATGTAAATGATGAATTTCAAACAACTGAGTAAAAACAAAAATCATGAATTCACAGTGATATTGAAGACACAGAAATGAAATGGAGGGAGGCAGTTTTTCTGCATAGAAGAATGCTAGCCAATAAAAACAGAAGGCATGATTTAGAAAAGTCATTGTTCTTCTGGGCCTGGTGCAGTGGCTCATATCTGTCATCCCAGCACATTGGGAGGCCGAGGTGAGTGGATCACCTGAGGTCAAGAGTTCAAGACCAGCCTGGCCAACATGGTGAAACCCTGTCTCTACTAAAAATAAAAAAAAAAAAATTAGCCAGGTATGGTGGTACATGCCTGTAATCCCAGCTACTTGGAAGGCTGAGTCAGGAGAATCACTTGAACCCAGCAGGCTGAGGTTGCAGTGAGCGCAGATCATGCCACTGTACTCCAACCTGTGCAACAAAGTGAGACTCCATCTCAGAAAAACAACAAAAAGGTCATTGTTCTCTAACCCTCAGCGCAATAATAGGTACAGTAAGGACGACCACAGGATCCCTGGATGAGAAGCTATGGGGCAGTAAGATAGTTATGTGATCTCAAACTACCACCCATAGATTGCTTATTAATTATAAAAATGGAAATGCATCTTCACAATGGAGGGATCTAGT